ATAAAAGAGATAAATAAAAATATATATATATATATATATATATATATATATATATATATATATATATATATATATATATATATATATATTGGAATGGGTAAACCAATTTTTTTATTGCTATTTGATTAATAAACAATATTTTACAGTAGAATAATTTATTTGGACACGCTTCCAATTTCCTCTCAATGTCTACCTATGTAACGCTTCAGTTAAGCAGTGCCGGTTAAGCAGTCGGGATCTTGCCGACGGAAGAGGTGGGATACACACAATATGCTGCTAAGCTCTTCTGATCTCCCTTTATTTGAGTTGTGATACTTGGGACGCCCACACAGGAATTTGAGGATTCCTTTTGATTAGTTAAGCAGCACGCACATGCAAATTCTCAATGCATGGATAGGGAACCAATGAGCACGGATTTACTTGCCATCACAGAAACATAAAACTCTATAAAGTTCTGCTACATCTTTGTATCTTTGCCCACCATGTGTGGCCACATTGTTGCGTGTGTAATGAGGGTGTTGTGGGAGGGGAAAATGATGCTTACTCAGACAAAATGCCTTCTGGTCCACACTTGAGGTGTTTCACTTTCCCCGTCACAGCTTCAAGAAAACCACCAAAAAGAGGAAACATGAATAAACCTGAATGGCTCGTAAAAGGTGTGTGCTGAACCCTGCATTTCTCATCATCTTGTCGACTTCTATGCTTTTCTGCCTTGATGCTTCTCTGGATCCTGTGACTACATCTTTCCATGCTCACAATGACAATGTGGATACCTCTTGAAAAAACAAAAAACATTGTAAATTCTCTTTTGAAAGCAATATGTTCTTGCCAACTTAATCAAGATGACACTATAGTTAACAGAGGCCATGACCTTTTAACATGTTTTGCTATGCGGAGCACCAAAACCCCTCCACCAGAGCAAACTCCACTTTGTGTTGCCTCTGGTGTCCTCAGCATTTTACCGTTGATGATTTATTTTGTCTGTCAGTTTATAAAACTGATAAAGGCATTTGTCAGTATGCACTGAGATAGATCTGACACACAGTACGCTCAAGGGTCACTACTCAGGTGTTGCGGAGTTAATGACTTTTCTCCACTCATGTTCAACTGGTGGAACAACCTTTGACTTCACGGACTGATGACGCTGACAGCCGGCTGAAGAATGGCCCCGATCAGACGCCTCTTCTGACCTTCAAGTCACGGTTCACCGATTACCAAAGACACATGGCACGGGACAGCTTCACTCAAGGCCAGACGTACAATAGAAAATTACAAAGAACCTGCACATATTTCGGGGTTCGACAGAGGTAGTGGACTGAACAAGCTAAATTTTTGCCTTGTGAACTGCTGCTATATAAATAAACTGAATTGAAATTTGAATACATGGCATGGCTATAACTTTTACAGTCATTACTTTTAAATTTAGCTAAATGTCTGAGGAGGAACTCAACTCACACTTGTTGATGTGTGACTCCAAGAGGGATGCTGACCTCAACATTTTGAACTATTGGTATTAGTGCAAAAACCATATCTAAAATAATGAATGAGATAGAACTTCTACTGGAATTTTATCGTGAATTGTTTTCAACAAGACCATGTTACCTGTTCAAATCTAAAAAAAAAATAAAACAGCCCTAAAACATTTTTTGGAAAACATTTTGTGGCCAAACTAAGATAAAAAAAAAAAAATAAATAAAAATTAAGCTTGTTTTAATCTGAGTAACATTTAACACTCTCCTGTGGAATGCCTGCCCATCTGCACTCTCTTATTTTCTTTAAAATATTTCTGTCCCAGATTCTTTTAGCCTTACAAAGTATAAATTAATTTATGGTGGAATAAAAGCACAACGTTTCCACAAATGCTATTCAGTCAGCTTTGCTCCTGTGGCCTCATGCTCTCATTCATATTTACCTCCATCCCCCCTTCTTCTGCACTGCGTCTCTAAAAGGACATTCTTATTTCATTAGTGAGGGAGTCCAGTAGGCTAGAAGGTAAACAAAACCTCTGTAATCAAAAACAGAACATACACAACCTAAATGAGCCAATAAGAGTTGAGGATCTACAGAGAGAGAGGCATGGATAAACAATCTGTAACTCACACTTTAAAAGTTAATAAGGAAATCACATTGTTGAAGCGGAACTCAATGGTGCTGTTACGAAACAGAAGTCAAATCTATCAGGCACATAGATTCTTAGCTATTTGTCTATCTGTGCTGTCATCTCTGTTTGCTCATATTAGGGAGGGCTCACTCAGGGACAGGATATGGGGATTAGGTACAGCCTTATGTGCTGTAGCTACATACCTCTGAATGGCTCCCATCTGTTCTGCTATAAAGGATAGCTCTACACTCCAGCAGCACTCGTGCTGCGTGCTGCCAGAATAACAGAATCGGATAGATGAGCAGCGTTGATATTGCTAGCCACAATACCACTCTCCACTAAAAGACTAATGTGCCAGGTTTATTCTATTAGAAAGGGATAAAAGGTTCTAATATAAACACACATACACAACTCACTGAATGCATATCCCCAGTTGATATCTGATCAAGGTTTCTGAACCAGTAGGCTAACCAGAGGTCCAGGCTTACCTTAAGGGATATGAGTTAGCGCCGAGAAAGTCTAAGAAAGGTGGAAAGGAGAGGAGTGATGGAAAAATGTGAAGAGATGGAAACTGAGGGAGAGAGGGGGCAGTGTGGTCTGTTTCATTACAGTGAATCTTGACACTGCTGCATTCTCAACACACATGGACTGGATTATAGGCTATGTAGACTGCTCCAACCCCGTATAGCTCACCAACACTTTCTTAAACACAGGCCGCCTTACAAATGTATGGGCAAACATCACAGATAAGTACAAAACTGTGATAGAGGAAGATGAACTATTTGCTTGCACACATTATAAAACTTAATCCTAAAAGTAAAATGTTCGGGAGAAGTGCAACATTGAGGTTAGAGACACACTCGGCTTGCAATGGTCCACCTGTGGATTACTGGGGGAGTAGAAAAAGATGAACTGGAAACTATGAGTGTACCATGATGCTTGATTTTTGTTCAGGTTCCAACAAGAACTTTTCCAATTTTCAGACCCTTTCAATCTTCCCTCTCTCTTGTCCACACATATACATTTATATAGCCACATTTGAATGCCTTTAAGTTGTTTCTTTATGTCTCATTAACTTAAACATTAGCTCTAAAAAAGCCCTGTCCCCCATGCTCATTTTTTGCATGCCCTCATTTAAAGGCATCCTGAGCCAATGGGGGGCTTCGATATAAACCCCCAAAACCGGAATTATAATTTATGACTCAGCATTCTTGATTTTATGCATTTTTAGCTTGCAGTCTTAAAACAAAAAAAAATCCTCATAACTTTTCTGTGTTGTACTGCAATTAACTACCCCACACACTGGCACATAAAGGGGTGGGGTAGTGCGGTAAAATTTTACTATGACTGAAAAAGCTGAGTGCAAAAAGACAGACTGGACCATCTCTGGTTTTTCTCATTGTGTCATTTTTATCACCTATGGGCTTTGGTGTGTTCGCTTTAGGCAGCAGGGGTGCGTATAGGTCTAACCACGCAGTTACCTATATGGCCACAGACTGCATGTACCACATGGCTGCACAAACAGCATTTGAGTACTTTACAAAAAAGACCCATAAACCCCAAAATAAACCAATTCTTTTCAGTCAACCGAAATTCACAAGCAGTGGAAACAGAGTTGGGTTCTGTTCCACTTTCCTCTGTCTGTCTAGGGTAATGCAGCGGATAGGGTGGTTCCATCAGTGTTTCCTGCTAATGGTAATTCAAGCCCCTTGAAAATGTTGTGCAGAGCATTAAGGGTCGAACAGTACATTCAGCAGCCAGTACGAGATGACATAATATGTTTGGGCTCATAAGAACAAAACAGCACAAGATAGCATTATGTTAGGGAAAACTGAGTTCCCCGTTTTTTTCCTGAAATAGTGTAAAGTTGTCATAAATTCTATTTTAGAAAATCAGTAAACACTGTAAAATTATTTTAATCCACATTTGACCAATCCAAATGCTACAGATTTTACCATACTGTGCGTCGTCGGCCAGTGTTACAGCCAATCTTTTTTTTTACTTTAGCCCACTCTGTCAACGTATCAGGACAATTCAAAGCTACCTTTTTTTATCACTCCAAAATAGAATAAGATTCTCAAACATATTAAGCTGCAGGATATCAATCTTAAAACATGTACCTTAAATCTAGAGTATGGAGCTTTTATGAGGAATATGTTTTTCACACATTTCATAACGGTCCCCATGTTGTGACAGTTTGCTGTGAGACAGATAATATGTCAAAAGTTTGATCTCCTCCTCCTCCTTGAGTTACATTTCCAGACCAAAGGATAGGCAGCACAATACAAGACTGTGATTCACAGCATTAAAACCCACCTCTTGGCTGATTGGTTGTTTCTAGTCAGCACTGGGAGAAGGCAGAGGAGGAACTCAGTTTTTGCACAGGTTATATGTTGCATACCAAACTGTCACGACATAGTGACAGTTTCAAGAAATATGTAGAATTTTTTTATTTTTTTAAATAAAAGTTACATACTTCAGCTTTAATATCCAGAAATAATAACAAAAGCTACATTTACAATCAATAGAAGATCTATCAAAAACTTACAGACACCATTGAGATGCAGGTTCCTATGGATAGTACTCATCAAGCCCATATACCCTCTTCGTCATCCTGTGAGAAAACACAGAAAACACGATTTGTGATGTATTAATTATGGCATGTAATTGTCCTTACATGTGGCTATAATCATGTTTAATAATCCTGCGTGTCAACACAGCTGTTTTCTGTTTATAATGGAAGTTAAACTTGGTGATTGTGTATTCACAAGCTGAAACTTACAGTTTTATATTTCAGTTCTCTTGAGCTCATGTGATCTTTAATTATAATAATAATGGTCATGCTCTCTTTCAAAGATGTCATGATATCACAACATTTTTTTCTTGGCGCAGTTGTTAAAAACCAATGATATGTTAGAGGTTTCCTTGTGCTGGAAATGTCCAGACAAGAGCTCTGCTAACAAGAAGGCAAATCCACTTAGACAGTAACATTATAATGATTAGCATGAACTGGAAGCTCTCCACAGTCAAGTCCTTACATGCAAAAAGCTAAAGTAGGTCTAGATAAAGCATAGTCTCTGCTAATACGACACCGGAGCTAAGCCAAGCATTGGCTGCAGTTTATATGGTGGTCCTCACTGAACTGAATGGTTCTGACAAGCTCAGTAAACTTAATGGGCTACAATGAAGCAGCTAAGCTACAGTTGTAACATTGGCTTTGCAGCGCAACATGCTAGAAGCTAAATACCAACATGATGTTAACAGCTTTGACAAGCTTGGTAAACAGAAACATACCCTCATCTACATCTTCCGGTGCCGGGAGAGCAGGCCGCCTGTTTCAGCACCTCTACACTAATTCTGAGTCTTCTTGTTTTTATAGTTTATTGTGGATGTGTTGTGTGTTTCTGTATCCTCCTACTTTTTTATACAAACTTTTGTGAGCAACTTTTCTTATTCTTTTGTGGATATTATGTTCGGAGACAGTATGAGTGATCACGCTTCTATTACTCCTTGCAGCCTCTGGTAAAACAACCTAATGTCCAATGCGAGCTGAGAAGGAAGAGGGCAGGAATCAAGAGTAGCAATTGGAGTAGATTGTACAGATCCATCAATCTGTCCATCATCATGGGAACCGTGAGGTCTCTTTCCAGGAAAGCGGGTAAGCTGGCGGCTCTGCGTGCCATCAAAGGAGCTACTGGGAACCTAGCGTCATCTGGCTGACTGAGATGTGGCTAATCACACAATTTCCAGACTCACAGATAAACATGGGCAGCTTCCATGTGCTCTGGGTGTACAGAATGAAGAAGAGCGACAAAGAAAAATAGGGATGGAAAAATCATCTACAAGAAGAAGATGGAGAATCAGCTGCAGCAAAGCAATAAGAGTGGGGTTTGGAGGAGTCTGAAGATCATTCCGAACCACAAACCAAGCCATCACTACAGCTGCTCCTCCATTGTCAGGTCTCACTCTGACTGGTTAATGTCTGGTCTGGTTCTACCCCGGTATGCAGCATTTCCAATACGTCTGTTCCTCACTGAATATTGGTAGGAACGTGGGCGGGCCATGAGTGTGCAGGAACTGTGGTCAACTCTCCAACGATGTTTGCAGTGAACCTAAGCAATGGTTAGGTTGTGGTTTTGATGGACTCAACTAACCCAGATATTTTCATCTTTGGAGTCTGCAGTGACGCAAGTAATGGGCAAATCAATGGATGCTGTCTGCTGTCAGTCGAATTGCTTACAGACAATACACAGCTGGGCTACCCGTCAAGTGGATACGGAAAATAAATGCTAACAGAAATGAGTTAACCCAATGGATGAACCCAACGCTGTCGTTTGTCACTTCCCGTGTGTCGAGCCCATAACACGCTGCTCTGAGGTAAACCTCTATGCGCGAGATGCTTTTAAGTGACAATACATAGCTTGATTAATCTGCAGTATGTAATATTAAATCACTAAAGTTTTCAGATTAATCATGTGCGTTAAAGCGTTTACGTTGACAGTTTTAGTTATCTAACAAGACCTGCGGAAATCTAAATTATAAATCCTTGAGTTGAAAAGGTGGTTTCCAGAAAACGGGTGCCTCATTACAGCTTCCCTCACTTTCAATCACCTGATGCATCAGAGTCAAAGTAAGATATTGATTCATCTTGTGAGTGAAAAGAACGCAGATGTTCACATGCTTCTGAGAGTTTGAAAGTTAATAATAAAATGAAACGAAATGAGCGTCAATCAATCACAGATTCTTGCATTCTTTAAGGAATTAAGATGTGCTCTTCCAGAGGTATGAAAGGGAGAAATTATTCAACCAGTTACCTTATCCCTACCTTAATGCTGAGACATTTTAAGCATGCGAAAGCATCTTACCACTATTAAGCACAGGGGATCTCCAGTTCATGTTTGACTCTAATTTAGACAGCAGATTCAGAATTATTTATAAAGAGTACAGACACGCAACAGTTCATTTCAAACAGAACAAATGTAGAAATATAGACCCAGGTGGAAATTCCCAACTATTCATCTTAAAGCCACACACTCAGTGAGACACATGCACAATTTCACAGTTTGGAATCCCCCCATGTACAACAATAGAGCTGTGATGAGTTTGAATTCAATTCAAATATACATAAAAAAAATGCTTTTATGAGTTAATGGGGAGACTCTGTCTTTTGTAAAGATTGCTTTCACCTACAGGCAGTTTCATCAGGGTACATAGAACAAATAAACGCTCAAGTATGCATCCCATGTGCATCCACATCAATGCCAGTGTGCACCTTTATGAACACACAACACGTGCTTGTGCCTAAAACAACAGTGCTGTCTGCAGACACATTAAGGGTGTCCTCGGGGCAATGTGGGTAATATGCGCAGACAGAAAGGAGGGAGCTTGTATAAGAGTTGGATGATATATAAACTAATCTCACATACAAACCCCATCAATCAAAAACAATCATTTGGCAGCTTTTTCCTTCAGGCCTCTTATCTGGCTGATATGAAGAACTCTAACTTGGCAGGAAGTATTGGGGTTTGAGGGTTATAAAAAAAAAAAAAAAAAAAAGAAGGGAGACAAGAAATGTTATGCTGTCAAAGAAGACCACAACTGAGCGCCGGTGGAGTTGATAAATATGAAATTGCATCAACCTTAAGGGCATGAAGATGAAGGCTCAGAGCTTGTAAACTTGTGTAAACAAGCCCGGAGTTCATCTGCTCCTTCAAGGTGTGTGTGCGTGTGTCCGTATGTAGTATTTGTTCTGACCTGATCCATCGGAGGTCGGTGGTTGGCATGTGGGTCCCCTCTTGGCAGACTCCGGTGATGCAAATTTGCTGTATGCATGTGGTGCAAATGATGAGGGTGATGTTGGGGGTGGATGTAGTCCTCCTCATAATTGTCTGCTATTAACTTCATTCTGCTCTGGGTCTGCAAAAAGGAAATAACACAATAGTTTAAATGCAACTGTAAGACTTGCACACAAAGCCATTCATTTCCCCAACACTGCTTATTTGTTCCATGAAAATTTCTCCTGAATCTTTGAATGATTAGGCTGAGGAATTTCTGCATGGAGGGGAAAGTATGTCGAAAGCCATCAAAGATGATAAAAACTGAGCCGCTAACATTTGACAGGTTGTAAATTGTGCAAGTTGGAGCGCCTAATGGAACTCCATACATATTTCAAATTATGTTTTAAATTGAATGAGATAAATCCCTGCAAGTACAGTTGTTGCTTTGTGTAGCCCAGGGCCACACTGAAGCAACCTTATTTTTGCATGTCACTGATTAAATTTACCCCTAAATGTGCATCAAATGCTTCTAAATGGTGACTCTATATGTCTATTATATGTATGCTAGAGTAAGGTAACAGTGTGGGCTGACTAATGTTAACAATCAGCCTAACTGATATAGAGACAGAAAAAAAATTAGGTGCACATATACTGACATTCTCAGTTTTAGTGTTTTAACACTGTATAGTTTCCCTCAGGGTAGACATGATTGTGGAGTCAGTGGTGGGATTGTGTATGTGTAAGACGTAGATGACTCCAAGAAAAGGCGTGCAATTCTGCGGCCAAAATCTTGCGGCTTTCCCCGAGTTTAATGGGAGCCAGGCATTGGGAGAAACAGACAAATAGCCTGAGTCAGCTGTGAAGACATAGGTGAGATAGAGTTACAGTAGTTAGCACCCTAGGGATAACAGAGGTGTGATAAGAGGCTGGAGCATAATGACTGAGGAAACAAGCCAGTCAGGATCACAGGAGAGGATCTGACTGGTCTTTAAGATGGTTGCAATTAGCTTAAACTTGAGAAGAGCCTCTCAGATAAGGTGAGAACACTGTCAAGGCTGTGGGAGGTGAAGAGAAACAAGTTAGGGACGGTCGGAGGAGGGTTTCAGACAAACATCAGACCGGTGGTTAGAGCCGTTAAACATCAGGTTCAGGTGTCCACATCATTATGACCTTAGGTGCTACCATTAGCAGGTGTGACTGGGTGGAGTAAGGTTATGCGTACTAGCTACAGAGCTATCACCTGTAATCGAAGGCAGACACCATGTAAACACACAGGTGGTGCTTAGTTGTGTAATCTCCACAATGTCAAACAAGCCTCATTCTTTGAATCGGTCTTAAGCAGAGGGGGGGAATTAGTCTGGAGATGAACATAATTACCCTTTGATCAATCACTTTGGTTGGCTTTGACCTGTTGGCAAAATGAATATGTCATCTTTTCAGTGATGCGTCACTGTAGCGGGTTGACCACATAAAGGTTGCCCTGCGACAGACTGGCGATCCGTCCAGGGTGAACCACGCCTCTTCCCCGAAACGTTCGCTGGAGATAGGCACCAGCACACCTCCCGACCCCATTAGGGGCAAGGATGGATGGATGGGTAAAGGTTGTGAATTCAAAAAGAAGACATTATGTAAGAAGCTTACTTCTATTATTTTCTTGCACCTCCCAGTGACAAAATAAGGAGATGAAGAGCTGTAAGATCTAATCTGCATTTTCCATGTTGACATGTCTATGACAGAGTGAGAAAGTGAGACAGAGACTTAAATCAGACAACAAGAAGGTCTAAGTTGCTATTTTAAATCCTTTTTAAGCTTTCATATTCACAAAAATATGGGTTTGGAAATATTGACATCATAGTCACTTTGGGAATCTCAAAGTTAAGTATGTATGATCTCTATGGAACAAAAAGGGAGACTATATTTGAAGTAATAGTATGCTGACTTTGCTGATAGCTAACACGATAAAAAAAAGCTAACTTGCCTTTGCACGTTAGAGAGGCCCCTTCACTGTCCACTTTCAAAGCTCGTCTTAAAACCCATCTATTTTACTTGGCTTTTAACTCCAGCGGGATCTAGTTTTAAATTGTATGTTTGTTTTTAAACTGTAAGAGTTTTTATTTTTTTTTTTATTGTTATATTGTGTTTTAATGTACAGCACTTTGTATCAGCTGTGGTAGTTTTAAAGTGCTTTATAAATAAAGCTGGCATGGTATAACCTTAAAATGCCAACTACTCAATCGTTTCACAGCAACTGCTCTTTCAAACAAGTTTTGTGATGATCCCTTGTGTGAACAACATTAATAATCACCAGGTGTGTAGGCAGGAAGGCTAAAATTAAAAACTTAATCTGATGCTGGTGTTGGCAGATCAAAGGAGAGAGGAAAAAAAAAGGAAAACAGCCAAAAAAGAAAAAAATAATCTAATTGGTGCATCTCTAAATTAGTAATTTGGAAGCATCTTACTTTTGGATTTGGATTTGGGTATTTGAGGGAACTAGTTTAATATTGGAGACACAAAGAAAACACACGCATTAACTCTTTTCTTGAGGACATGTTCCATAATGTTTGTGTAAAAACAAAGGTGTTTACACTTAAAAAGCCTTTCAGGTGGAATATGTGCGTTTTAATTAGTGTTAATTAGTAGTCTTGTAGAGTAAACAGCTCGCCAGTTTCCTCCAGGCCTGCTTGTAGATCACAGGCAAAGCAGCTCACACAGGTGGCACAAATGCATGTGGAGAAAAAATACACAGGCTCTTCACCTAAATCTCTAAGCAAAACCCACTATATTATTTGGCTCTTTGTGTGTTTTTGTATGTGTATCAATGTGCAGCCGCTGATGTAAACATGGCAGCAATCACTGCTGAGCTCACAGCTGCACTGCAAACCCCAACACAAGCCCTGTGTAAATCACAAGCCTGCTCTGATTAAAGAGTGGCTGTATTAACACATATGGACACAGGAAGCTGACAAAAAACCCTTAAAAAAAACAAAAAAAAACAGCTGTACTTCAGAAAGGCTGTGCAAGTTTCACAACAATTAAGCAGGGTCCTTTAATCAGGTCTATCTGTGTGTTAAGCATTACTCAGTTATGCTAGAGGAAAAAAAAAAAAAACAGAAAAGAGTTAACAGGCTAAGGACAGATACTAAACTGTGTTATAAAATAGGGACAAGATTAAGGGGAAAAGTCACAGAAAACACACCTCAGAGATTTCCTAATTCATCTTACCCTCAACTTTAAAGCACTACTGATGTGAGATCATCCATTACTTGAATGAAATGCTAAGAGAATTCCCACACTGGGGCACATTTTCTGAGACTCTTTTCCCCGAGAAAAGAGAAAAGAGTCTCGCATGTGTGCGCGCGTGTGTTTGCGTGTGTGCGTGCGTAAGTGCCTGTGTTTGTATATGAATGGTTGTCTGAACTACAGAAGGGTTTTCGCCTACACTAGGAAAAAAAGTGAATGAAAGGAAAGTTTGTTTAATACACACATACCCACACATGCATCTTAAAAAAGAGGGATGTGGGGAGGTCAGACAGGTCAGTGCTATCTGTAAATCAATCTGCTGTCTCAAGATCAGCTTTCCCGGAGAGACCTTGAGTGCCATAATTCTTTGGCATTTCCTAGTTAGTTTCCTTCCGCAAAAAGACATTTACGGACCTGAGGAGGGCTCCCTATCATGAAATTTGTGTCAATGAGTCAGTGCCTAAGTGTACAGAGCTGAGTAGTGCGAACGCAACAGAATTTATAGTCATATTCAATAAATTAAAATAAGCATCCCGGTGAGACTCGTTTGTTAGATTAGAAGTACCTTTTGAAAAGCACAGCCTTTAAGCATGTTTTAAACTCACACTTTGTTAATGTAAACCAACAATGTTTTTATTATTGGTGTGATACAATATCCTAATCTTAAACGTCGGTTTATGATTAACTGTAAGATGAAGATCATCAAAATAACAGAAATAAAGGTATGAAAATAGTTATGTAATTAACTTTGTGAATGGATTTATTAACTTAGCTTTTCACTGATGTTCTAATTTATTGCATACGATTGTTGTATATGCATATGAGAGTCCAGTTTTATACCAATTGCTACAGGAAAAGATATCTTGGACATTTTACTGTGAGCACGTTTTACTCCCTGTTACCTTTTCACCTCCCATTCATATAATTTTTATATGTTTATTATCTTTTTAAAGGTCAGCAAGAAAATTTAAGTTGTTCACTAAAAAACTCAAATATCTGGTTACAAAAAAAAAAAAAAAATCCTGGACTTAAAATCCATCATGTAAAACAAAATGTTATTCTTATGATTGTAATCATCACTGTACTTCTTCTGTTTACAGATCATGACGAAGTGTGTAATATTGGGGAAATCTTCAAAGCAAAACCAAGGAAGATGAGGGGAAAAAAAAAAGACCATAAATGTTATGTGTTTTAAACAAAAAAAGGGGCAACAATCATCTTGACTGTTCTCTAAAAACCTGAATTAGTTTGAAAGTAACAGTGTGAGAAATGAAAACAAATTTGAGCAATTCATATCTCTGATGTGTAAATTCAGTCGTAGCAGGCAAGTTTGGGTTAAGTCTCCAGGGGCTCATTCATCCCACTGAACCACAAACAGGATCTAACTCATTTTGGAATAATTCAGTATATCTACAGAGGTTAATTTAATGACTGCAAAGCCCAGATCCTGTGGCGGCAAAGCAAGCTCCTGCTGTTATGTACTTGGTGGTCAGGGATCGTTATCTAGACAATATGCTTTGTTTAATGTCTTTTGTTGGGACAAAAATGTTTCTCATTTCTTCTTCTTTTTCATTCAAGCACTTATTCAAAATTGTCCCTCATATCCCCAATAGGGCTGTTGTAAACGAATATTTTAGTAATCGAGTAATCTATCGATTATTCTTACGATTAATCGAGTAATCGGATAAA